GCCTCCCCCTCCTCCGGTTCCGCCTGTGGCTAATGTTATAACTGAAAAATTAATTGAGCAACGGGTTTTTCGAAGATTAATTCAGGTGCAGTTGCATGAAGTCATGTTCCACATCGCACTTTCTCGTACTGGATTACTTCGGGCTCGAACCGAGCTGAAACAGAGACCAACCAGCAGCGACTTGAAAGTAGTCGGTGATTTGTGTATGAGGTAATTTGGAGCAAAATAACTGAAAATCAGTTCACTAAATTGGCAACAGTTTGAGCAATACGCACAGTTTGGTTTTTATGCGTTTTGTGCTGTGTAACAGCGTTACAAAACGCATATTGTCACGGGGTTGTCTGTGTGTGTGTTTGTGTATGTGTGTGTTTGTGTATGTGTGTGTTTGTGTGTGTGTGTGTGTCTGCGTGTGTGTGTGCCTGCATGTGTGTGTCCCACATCTTGTCCCTCACTTTCAACTCGGGAACCACGAAAGCTAGGCGGCTGAAATTTTGGTATAGTGTTCCCCGCCAATGGGTGATGCGGCAAATTTAAATTCGGCCTTCCCTTACCCGCGGGTAACGCGTACGGCCCCGGAAAAGTTTTTTACGGGTAAATTAATATCTCAGGAATCACGGAGTCTAGGAGGCTGAAATTTTAGGGTAATGACCCCCTGCCCACGCTCAACCTTGCCCATTCGAATTCAGCCTTCCGTTACCCGCGGGTAATACGTACGGCCCCGTGAAAGTTTCCCATGGGTAAGTCACGGGTAAGTTTTCAGCCTTCCCTTACCCGCGGGTAATATGTACGGCCCCGTGAGATTTTTTTTTGCGGGTAAGTTATCTCGGAAACCACGGAATCAGGGGAGCCGAAATTTTAGGGTGATGTTCCCCTGCCCACGCTCAACCTTGCCTATTCAAATTCAGCCTTTCCTTATCCACGGGTAACACGTACGGCCCCGTGAAATTTTTTTACGTGTGAGTTATTATCTCGGGAACCACGGGATCAAGGAAGCTGAAATTTTAGGGCAATGACTCCCTGCCCACGCTCAACCTTGTCTATTCAAACTCAGCGTTCCCGCGCTTTTGAGTATCACCTATGGCCTCGTGAAAATTTAGGGGGGTAAACTATTAAATCGGGAATCACGGAGAGGTATTCAACGTTCAGGGTTTCGGATTCAGCTTTCGTGCGCTGGTGCGTGAAATTTTTAATTATTTTCCAATATTTGAACTATTTTCGCATAGATAAAAGTACAAAGCATGAAAATTATTGATAGGCAATCGTTCGATGGGCTGAATTGCACAAAAAGCATGATTGCACCGGCTAGTCTGGTGCGCGTTGCTATTTATTTAATTCAAAAACTAAAAGAGTAACCGACTTAAAGTTCTCTACAGTGGTGAGTTTTTTCGAATAGTTCTGGCGAGATTATTTTACAATTAGCTCTATGGCGTTGCTCGATTCTCTATGATGGATTTGGGGGAAAAATGCTTACTGATTCTGTGAATGGCTGAAATTTGTTTGATCTGTTTGCAAGAAGTGAAAATTTAAAGTTTGGACGACCAAGTGTCCGAAAGTAGTCGGATTCCTACGAAATGATCTCTCTCAGCAGTTTAGGAGTCGCTAACGTACTGTGTTTGGAAACCAATCATTTTTTCCGGTCGGAGATTTTCACTAATCGGAAGGGGGAAGGCAGGAGATGGACGCTGGTCATAGTAACACATGATGCGGGCTTTTACGGGGTATCTCAGAAAATTCTCTCTCTGACGTGCATCAGCAAATTGTCACGGATGGGATGCGAAGGATGTGCATATTCTTGGGTTCTGTGTGAATCGGGTGGTTCTCTCAGGCACTGCTTTCTCGGATTCCCTTATTATGCGCGTAAATTTCTGTGTTTACAGCTAAGGGATGAAACACAGAGGCTGCATCGTAAAATGTCTTTTTGTGCATGACACTTAAGTCGAATCCTTTCACTCTACTATTCTACAATAAAGACGCCACCTGCCTGTTCCATGGAGTAAGGCTGAGGCACTGCTTCGATGATCACCGCCGACATGGGCTGTTGAACGTTTTCAAAGCACTGTTC